TTTTTTTCCTGCGCCGCGTGGAAGGCCCGACACCCAAAAAACAATATGGGCGTGTAGGGCTTTTTCAGCCCTACACGCCCATATATATATATATATATATATATATATATATATATATATATATATATATATATATATATATTACATGTGAAAAATGGGGGAAAAAAATCATGTACCAAACTCGGCTGGTCGGCCTAGGCCGAACCGGGCTGATTTGGTCATCGGCCTAGGCCGCGGCCGATTCGGACCCCTCGGGCGCGGTCGGGCGTGCAATATAGCTTACAAGCACACATGTAGATCCGAGGAAAACTGACATTTCGCCATAAACTTGCTTCCAAAATAGGAAAAGGACGAAGAACAAGGCGCGCAAGCCTTCTGCTCTCTTCTCATGGACCCAGACCATGCAACCACTCATACACACACACGCCTTCCTTACTCTGGCATCGGAGATCCCGACCGCCACGTACCAGCATTCATACCATATCGATTGTCACCCCGCCAAATTAGTTTCCACATCGACTTGCCTAGATCCTGCATTCCGTCGCGGCCACCCGACGCACAACCTTGCAAAACTACAGTCAGCTGTTAGCACTTTTTGACTCGTGGATCATCACATCATCTAGCCACTACTTCCCTGAAGCTGGTAGATTGGTTGAGAGAGAGATTTTCGGACGCGCTTGCGGTGTTCGGGGAAAAAGGCGGGAAAGGAAAGGGGGGTGAAGAGAGAAGTGGAGCGGGACTAAGATCCAAATGAAAAGAGTAAGAAAGACGTGTGAAGGAAAAGGGGATGGAAAAATGCTACTCTTCAACGGAGGAAGGTGCAAAGGAGAGAAGGGTAAAGGTGTCTCGGAATACAGTGAGAGGCGGAAGGAGCTTGCAGCATGGCGCTGACGCGGAAACGAAAAGGCACCGAAACAGCTACGCTCCGTCCAATCCATCTCTAAAACTAGTTTGAGATTTGAAGAATTTAAAAACAATATCTCCGAGTGGAATTAGACATGTGAAACTCCTACGCCTATTCAAATTCCTTCAGAAAATTCACTGAGCTTTCCAAGGCGGATGTCGGAACACTCATGTACAAGAAAGGACACGTTAGCGGGAAGTGCGAGCACAAATTCTAAAATTCCCAACTGCCGAAGAAAATTCTTTGCGCGCTTGCTTAGGTGTCCGTAATTCCTACGTAAATTCATAGACCTTAAAGGAAAACATAAAAAAAATCCAAAAAAGTGGGAGAAAACAAAAACACTTTGAGGCGGGGAAGCCTCGGCTTCCAATGTCCTCCATTGATTCCATGCATTACCCGCTTGCCAAAAAGAAGGTACCCCAAAGCCCATTAGTGGCCGAAAAGAAAAGAGTAGTAGAATACAGGGCTTTGGAAGTTTGTTCAGGCACAAAAGTTGGCGTATCACATATGTGATGTTGAGGGGGTTCCAAAATTATGCAATCTCCTGATTGCATGCATGAAGGTCTGCGAAAACTAGTTTACACAAAGGAGAATAGAAAAGAGGAGAGAAGAGGGGGAAGGAAGTGGAAAGGAAGATGGTTATGGCCCAATGTATCAACACGAAGAGGAAGCATGTGGCATCAGGTTCAAGCGACGTTGATTGACATGGAAAAACCTTTTCGAGTTGGGGTTGATGTATGATATGTTGAAGCCAACTTTACTTGCAATAACCTCGCGAGACTGTTGTCATCGTGCCTTGGTGACAATCTTCCATACTCGCAGAGAGGAGACAAATCTTGAGTGTCTTGTTGTCTTTCAAGTTGCACCATCAAGGCTTGGACCGATCTGATTGCTATTCAGGCTCACCAATGCTTCGCTCGATCGTAATCAACGAGAAAAGAGGAAGGCGGTAGTTGAGGCTGTCACGA